CATCGGTCCTCTAGCTATTCATCCATCAGGCATCAATCCCGTATCCAACCACCTATCCATCCCGTAACCATCCATCCTGTTATACATTCATCTAACAAATAATCCATCCATCTATCCCTCCGTCCCGTATCCACCCATTTATCCACCCATTCATCTATTCATCCATCCATCTATCTATCCTGTATTCCTCCATCCATCCTCTATCCACCCGTCCATCAATCAATTCAACCCGTACTCACCCATCCATCCATCCTGCATCCATCTTACCATCCTGTATCCATCGACCTATCCATCCATCCTGTATCTATCCATCCATGCACCTATTCATGATGCATCCATCCGTCCATACATTTTATCCATATATTCATCCATATATTCATCCAGGTATACATTCATCCATCCATTCCTCTATCCTGTATCCATCAATCCATAATGTATCAATCCATCCATTCATCCATCCAAATTTATTCATCCATCCATTAATCCAACCCGTACTCACCCATCCATCCTGCCTCCCTCCGGCCATCCTGTATCCATCGATCTATCCGTCCATTCATCCATGACGCATCCATCCTGTATCCAGCCATCGATCCAACCTCCATCCAGCCATCCATCCGTCCGTTCATCCATCCTTCCATTCATCCACCCATCTATTCATCCATCTTTCCATTCATCCATCCACCCATCCATCTGTGACGCATCTATCCATCCATCCTGTATACATCCATCCATCCCTTCACATTTTCCCGTGTTTTTCTGTCCTTTTTATTTATCCTTCATGCCTCCATCCGAATAACCATTTACATATCCTAGTATACCTCCGTCGACTTACACACTAAATTATCCTTTTTTAACCACCCGTTCATTTATCCACTCAATCAACAACGCGAATATCATTTTATCCAAACCATTTTATTTTCTTGATCTATCCTAATCTCACCTGAGAAAATTCACTGACACTTAACCAAATTTCACTTTTCTAAATATTACTTTTGATTAAAATGTTACTTCTCGCAAGGTGTCATGACACTGCGTGACAGCGTGGCGATCCAAAGTGCCTCCACAATTTAGGCGATCAATAAACCTAAGAGGCGAAGAATCGATTTTTGGGTTCTTGCCACAGCAGTGACTACACGCACGCACCTACGCGTGCGTGAATGCGTGTGTGCGTGCGGGTGACCCACAGCAGGCCCTGGGACGTCGCGTCCGCTAACTCGTCCATTGCCCGTCCCTGTTGGCACATTCCATGGGTACAGTAAAGCAAATTTGCTCCTGCGCGTTCGCTCATCACATTAGCACCAAGTTAGAGGAGGGGCAATGGAACCGTCTCCTCCAGGCCTGTTTACGTCTGGTGATCAATGTTACTAACTTCTGGTTTATGCCCCTGAGGGAGATCATGCGCTAACACCTCCAGTGACCATCAAGGCAATCTAATTGTACTTTTGGGCTTAGGCCGAGTGTTTATCTCCTCCAAGCTGCTTTGCTCGGTGACAGGTTGAACAACTGCGCGTCTAGTAGTCATGCTAAATTAATGTCTGTTTCTAGTGCACCAGAAAAAGTGGGCATGCTCCAGCACCCTTAAAAAGTTGTATGTCCCTGCATCTGTAAGGCGACCTTACTAGCCTTGCTCTGAGAGGTCCTTTAACTTTTGCCTTTAAAAGCTCATCTTCAATCTTCAGTGGCTATCACAGATCACTTCGGTGATTCTGGAAGACTTCATGAAACATGTAAGAACTTAAAATTAATTAACTGAAGCACACTCGACCACGCTGAAGAGTCACCAAAAAGTTTTCACCTCCCGAATACCCCCCCCCCCCCCACCAGCCCCGGATTCCCGTGAGGTAAATAAACAAGCTGCAAGGGACTGTTTTTCCCCCTTAAAACGATAAGTACCAAATCATGTCATTATTGCATTACGCGAGAGAAAGCTTTTGGAGAACTTTACGTTCATCACTCAACCACGCCAAAAAAACGGCAATGATGCCATCAAAACTGCGACAAATTGAGTCACTTTTCACTCGAAATTAGTCCATAAATTGAGGAAGAGGGGAGGAAGTTAACTTGACTAGTCTCCACGGTGCTTTGAATACTAATTGAGTCAGTTTTACGTGTACACAATGCGCTACGGAGAAAAGCGGACCCTCGAGGGCGACGTCGGAGCAGACACGGTGATAAAACAAATGCACGACATTAACGCGCACGCACGTGCGCACTTGCATGCAAATGGATGCATGCAAAGATTCAGGCCAATGGACAGCGTCCTATCTTTTATTGGCTATGCTAGGTTTCACCTTGAGCTACCAACCAATCACACTGTGATATGTGTTTCAGTTCTTATTGACCAATCGGGGTATTGCTATGCCACACCACTCATCATCCAATCAAACGAGGAAGAAGTTTCTGCGATTGTTTCGTATTCCCACTGACGGTAGGGGTAGTCACAGAAATCGAGCTGTTTTGAATTCCGGCTCCATTGACGCCAATTCAGGGGAGGAGCATCGAGGGATCGGAAATCACCCCCATCACGGATTGTTTAATCACACAAGGCACGAGAAACCGCAGGTTAGTCGGGTGGACAAAGCTAACAACACTCTCAGCCAGCAACAGCAACGACAGGAGCCGGTATTCAATTCGCCGGCTAAACCTCCTAGACCGAACAAAATGGGCAATATTCACCAGGTGAGTGTAAATTTCGTATGCCCTGTCCTACACTTTTCCTACTTTGAAATGAAAAACAAGAATTCTTGTATCACCCTGACAGATATCGATGCGGAAGCAGGTAAATTCCTCCTCTCCTGCTTTTTTACGCTTAATAACTAGACTAAGTTTGACCTTATTAACAAAAAAATCGAGTTTTCCTTATTTGTTTGCTGAAAGGAGTTGACTGACGAAACTTTTATTAAAGCATTTTGACGATATTTTAACTCCTAGTCCATTTTTCCCCCGATTTTTGCCTCAGCTATCTCATCTTCTTCCAAATAAGGCTAGACCCTGGACCATTTAGGTGTTGTGATAAGGAGTACTTACTTAATTTACTTGTTCTACGCAAATACGCTGGAAATGTAAACAGTAAACCTTGCACATTTTTTGAAGGTCATTCGCCACTTCCGACCTTTTAATGAACAGATCTGGTTTTAATTTAAAACAGTGAACTTGCTAGGTTTTGTAATACTCTCCCTCTTCTACATTCCTGAAAACAGTGGCAACAAATCGTCTCACAGAAGCCGACTTAGCTTAAGAACTGGGTCTTAAGCGTCACTTCATATTTGTTATTCATCAGTTTGGCCTGTTCGTAAATCTCATTTTTTACACAAATATCACCTATTTCCACAGTTTTTAAAAATTTGTAACCTCAAAGGGGTTTCAGCTTAAAGTCTGTAAAGCTTTTGTCTCTGTGAGTATATTCTCTCTGTATCAATAGGAAACTCTTTCCAGGTCAATCAGCTGAAGTTGTTTCAACTGTTCTACTTCCTTGTGGATTACTAAACAAAAAGTCCTGCAGAGACATCTTTCCTAAACAGCACTGATCGTGGTGTTTTTTCTACCCTTTTCCTTTGCGCAGTATCCCATTTTTTTCCCGGAAATCGTATTGTTTGCTCATCACCAGAGTTTCAAGAAAGAAACGGTACTTGCAGTTAAAATCCACCCAGTTTTCGTAACAATCTTGACAACGGGTGCGTGCTTACACACTTCTTAATCACTACTCCACTGCATTTTGATGTGTTGCGTTGTCACCAGTGACAAGGCAGTTGTTGGAATGTTTGATTTACTTAACTGCAAAGGTGGAAGCCGCTGGTTCATTCAGCCATTTCTTTTCACCACTGATGTTATTCTACAACTCACCCTGTTTCCGTGGCTAATGTTCAGGAGTAGGGTCATCTGTCACATTGTCAAACACCTTGTTTACGATGTCACGAGTTGCCTCATTTTGATTTTACAAGAGAATAGGCCAGGCCACAGGAAAGGCGATTAAACTCCTGCTACTGCTAATTCACACTTTATTTAAAATGTATTAATGCCTTTGCCACCCTTAACTTGCCACACTGCTACCCTGCCAAATGCCTTTCTTTTTTCTTTGTTAATTAACATTCCAAGCTGCCTGCTCCGCGCTGCTCCACTATTCACCGCCACGAATCATACCATTGTTAAAGTGAATTGGCGCCAAGATTATTGACAAGCCCAGAGACAAAGTAATTTTCGTAATGGGTGTAATTCTTTTACAATAATGGAGAGGAGAATAAAGAGCTTGCTGCTTTCTTTGTTTTTTGCTGGCAAATGATTACAGCCAGTGCTTGCGTCCCAAAATCACTCACCCCCCTTTTATACTTGTCTGTTGTCCGAACTAAATGTTTATTGTCCTGATTGCTCAATGCGCCACTTTTTTTTCCTGGTGCGTGTATGTACACTGGTGTGCAGGATCGCACGCCTTTTCAATTCTAAAGCGCTGCATAACTGGACATTAGGCGTGGAGATGGTAGAGGGACGCGGTGGAGTGAAAGGATGAAATTACGCCTTTGATGACCCTTACTAGCCTCGGGGTCTCCGTCACCTCCTCTTTCTCCACTTGACGCAAAAGTGCGTGGACGGTTGTCTGAAGAGCTCACGACCTCTCTATTTGTCTCCTTTTGGGAACGTTTCTAGAGTCAAAAATCCTGTAGTACCTCAAAATCTACTTTAAAGATGTACCCAAACTAAGATTCTACCTCAGTGCTTAAGTTATTTCTAAAAACTTGATACCTACACGGTAAAGCGGCGCAGATATTTCCTTTTATGGGTGTTATTTATGGCGGATTTTTGCATTTCTGCGTCTAAGTCTCTGTAGTGATGTTACTCTTTTAGCAATTGCTTCACTGGTATGGGAATTTAGTTTTTCCGTAGTCATTCCATTCAATCTTTTTCGGCTTTAGTGAACCACTTTTTCATTCCTTCCATTTGAACGTTCGGAATGTCCTCCGTTCGGTACACTATATCATGAACCTTTCTAATTCGCCCTTAGATGAATGCACAATATTCTCAAACCGAAGTTAATCGCTGCTCCAGATGCACATAGTTTACTACCATTTTTGTCCCAGGATAACAGCTGTTCTGGTAAATTGTGGTGACGGCCAGTCTATCGGACAGAGGTGATCACGTGACACCTTCAGATAGGGCCATTCACTACTTTTTCCAAGAAAAATAAGCGAAAGTACTGCGGGTTTTGTGATGTTAAAATAACACTATTGTTGACATCTTTCCCTCCTCTCACATCTGCACATTCATTTCAGCGTTTTTGTTTACCCCCAAAGTCTCTGCACGAAAGATGTTGTAGGTACAGCCTGCTACTGGTGCCCAGCATGCGCCAGTTCCTCTAGTACCTAACTCTTCACAGAAGATTGAGTTTAGTGTCCCGACGAGATGCGTATCAGGATCAGGCTGATTAAATATTTGAAGGAGCAGCTTCCGAGGCTGTGGGCTAGGTATGGAACCACCACGCCAATGACCATCACGAAAGTACAAAATTATGGGTGATCATATTTGAAATGTCGACTTCCAAATCTCTTAGATGTCTCACCGTGCTTGCAGCCAGCCCTCTACACACAGCATAGTGAAGGAGTTAAAGAGCAACACAAAAGGACTGGATACTTGTTGGAGGTAATGTCCTTTGAAGTTCCTTGAAGTACTGCCAGACAGTGCGTGCTGGCACCAACGCATAAGCACGTGCCAGACTAGTTGTGGCATTTATTAAACTAAAGGCATCCTTTTTGTTTTTTTTTGACGGCTGTGGATTGTGGGTCTGTGTGTGTGTGCCTTATGTATGTACAGCCCCACCAAAAGGGTGCGTGTAAACAGTCTACCTTTAGAATCGGCTGAAGCGGAGCAGAGGTTACTTTACAATAGTTTTAAATCAGACGCATTCCTTCCACCCATTCCTCTTAAAATACACGGAACTAGAGCTGGCCCTACATTTTTTCATCTAAGATTGGTTTTGAACAAGACAACTTCTCTGAAATGGCCTTGGACAGCGTCTCAGTCTTGGTTTACGCCTGGTTTGTCTTATCTCATGCAAAGCAGTGTCATCAGGACTCCTTGAAATCATAATAAACAACATATTTGCTGAATTTGGCCTGATGTGCTCCCTTTGAGTCGTAGACTATCAAGAATCCATGGGCAATAAGTGTCTTTAGAATCTGATGAAGTAAGGGAAAAGCAACATTCCTCTCGCTTTGCGAGAGAATCCACGCCCACTTGGGGCACCATCGACTTCAGGATCTGCCAAAACCATTGGGAATTGATCTGTACCCATTTGGAAAATGTGGCATTGTTCAAATGGCCCTTGAGTAGTCTCTTACGCTCTCAAAGTACTGAGATCCCACGCCTACTGCGGTTTACTCCACTTAAGAAGATCGTCATAGTCTGGCTCTTTTTCCCAGCTTTCACAGTTAAAGCCGTTTCTCTAAGAGAAATCCTACCACCTTATTTTCTCCAAGCTGCTTTTGTCTCCACTTTACTCGGACATGTTAGCGATGGTCCAGCTGTGTCCGTTACGTGATTTAATGTGCTTGTATTTGATCTAGTTCATCGTTCGTGAAAGTCTCTTAACATTGAAGAAGACTGTTTTACTTTCTATTGTGATCTGAATCGATCCAAGATATGTCCAAACGCTGAAGATAATGAGTCGTCTTTGTGCCACAAAAACAGAGAGGCAGAATTTAAACTGGTTCCTTTCCAGAAAGTAAAGATATAAAATCGACTGAATGGTTCTGTTTGTTTGATGACCCTCCAAAGTGAATGTGGAGTTTGAACTCCTCCGTCTTTAGCACGGTTTGAAAATTCAGCTTAAGCTATCGCTCTCGAGTGCTCTCCTTCACTGAAAGATGAGTAGACTAGAAGTTCCTCTGTTGACTGATTTCGTGCCTTGAGGTATTGCATGCCATTCTGAATTCAGCCAATGCCTTTGTCAAGGAGACAAAGATGATTGCTTACTCTTGAATAGGTTGATAATCGAAGTGGAGCTTCCCTAGTAATCAATCTGAAAGTCGTTGTTATTGGCGATCTACCTCCAAGGAAAATTAAAGTAGGGAAATTTCGAGGGTTTCGTATTAAACGATAAAAATTCGTGATGGGCTGGTTGGTTGAGTCATCCACCGACCAAGATTTAGTCACTTGCATCCACGCCTGGAGGTAATGCCTCGATGACTACCTCGGACTAGACAACGTGGATTAAGCGAAGGTACTTACTCATCGAAGGTACATCTTTCAATAAACCCTTGGAGGGATGTGAATGTGTTGTTGCTTTCACCTCTTCCGCATTATTCACCAAAACGTTAGCATCATCCTGGCCCTCGCCTCCGTTTCTCATAGCTATCGCATCCTTTGACCTAGATTGACCTCATTGTTGCACCTGGGCAGCCGCATAGTATCATGCCAAATCACTATGAAAAAGACGGTTTGAAGTCATAACAATGATGTGTCGTTAAAAAGTGAATGAAATGCTTGGATTCAAAGCAAAATTTTGAGGTATTAACAATAGAACTTAGACTTGCTTGAAGAGATCAGACATATTATGTCCCCCCCCCCCCCAACATTTCATTTTTAGCCAACTCTAATTAATTTTTGGAAGCTAAAGTGAGATGACAGGAGATGAAAATGTCCTGATTGCTGAACCTCATTCGACCCCGTGAACTCTAGACGTTCGTCACGCCTCCCCACCCCCTCTCCAGTGTCAACTGCTTTGATAACGAGATGCGTGATGGTTGCCTCTTTCCATCCTTCGCCTTTTTTCTATATGGGCATTTTTTAAGACCCCAAAAGGCTTTCCACCTTTACCTAAAAGCAAATTCCATACGTAAAGTCTTTTTTTCTTTAATACAATAAGGGTTTTTCCAGTCTTCTGCAATGGGCTGTGGAACTATACCAGTCCTTCTGTGGGCGGACACTATGGCTCTCTTCCAGACCCATGCCTTATCACCACGAGATGACTCACATCCAGTGCAGATGGTGGGAGTCGGTGAAGGTTAACAGCAGGAGAGTTCTTAAAAGCAAACTTGCTTCCCTGTAAAAATGACCTGTTTTGCTTGTGGTAGTTCACATTCTTCTTTTCCCAGAGAAATACCAGTGCTGGGGTAAACATGCTCCTTGCTATTTTGTTGAACTAGACTGCCTTGAACTTTGCCAAGGTTGTGCGTTTTCTCGATCATTGCATACTCTTCTTTGTGCAAAAAAACACCAAGCACTCTTCTTCATTGTATCAGTGAAAATGCAACCAAAAAGGACTTTGACACGTGAATATGGTTTGCGTAATCAAAAACGACATTTTCACACTTTCCTTCACCTCATACTCCGTAACCTTCAAAATACTGGAGTGTACTGGGCTATAGACGAGTTCAAAGCTAACAGTCAATGCTTCTGCGACTTTGTTTTTTTTTTCAAGAGTCGTCATGGCGCCTAGAGGTTGGAATTGCTCTGCATCTGTTGTGCATGGAAAACACCCATTTGATACTTGGCTTCTCTACTCGAGTACACACTTTGGCACAGATGAATTTATTGCCTCCGGCAACACACACCCAAATGCTTTTTTTTTCCATCGTTAGGGTAGAAATTCGCGTTAGACTTGCTTAGAATGGGGAATGGCATGCCAAACAGCTAAGTAGTGGGTCTCATGATACTCCTGGGTCGAATCAGTAGTTTGCTATCGGCTTCTTCCACTTCGAATGCCCTCGGAGTAATCCTTGCCCTTAAGAAATAATTTGTCCTAGACGCTTTCCTTTTTCCTCATAAAAGATGCTTCTTTATACCACTACACGAATATGGTGAAGTGGGTAGCCTCGCAGCCTGCACCCTGCCTCTCTTACCATAAGCTCAACTGTTACAAGCAAGTTGTCATACCGTGGCAGCACCTTACGGTGTGTCACAAAGATTGACTGAGCACAAGAATAATTAGGTGGAATGTGTGGTGCTCCTTGATCTGAGGCGGAGGGGCTATCAAGTAGCCATTAAGTCGATCTCACACCCTCATTGCCAACGCTCTTGTCATCGTTTCAACAACGCACCATCCACAGAGGCTGTAATGGCGATTGCTAATTCACATTTACCTAAAACATCTCTAGTTGAAGAGTCTTTACAAATTTGAGCTTCCCCTCCCTCCAATAACAAAGTTGAGGATTAACTTGATACCCTAGTAGGCCAATTTTCAACTACTTTGTGCGATCTTTGTGCAGTAATCACATTATTTATTTTGCTATCTCTACCAAAGGATTGGTTCAGAGTCAGTGTTAAATTTGCTTTTCAAGTCAAATAAATCTTGTTTGCCTCCTCCGTCCTTTATAGCCCATTGTTTGGGCACATGGCGGCGGCGGGAGGGAGGGAGCAGGCAAGAAGGGGAGAAAGCTTTTTATGGCATGGCTATAAGACAACGACGCAGAAGCAAAGTACACAAATCACTGCGATTAAAGAGCTAGCGTCTTTTGTTACTATCAAAGTGCCATAGAAGATCTCAAAAAGTGTTGGATTTTGATTTGTTGTGTCAAATTATGATTGGCTGGTCTATGAAGCTGTCATTTGTCTTTGATAATTTGCTTTAAGCCTGATTTTTTGTGCAGGGGTGGATGTGCAAGAAGCAAAATCTGAATTAATTTTCAAAAGTCATTACCACTGGAAGACGTGGGCGTTTGATTTTTTTGGCTGTGGCAGGGGCTAGAAGAGGAGAGATGAGGAGAATCACATAATGTTCAAATATTTACCGCCGGTTGTAAGGTAATCCTCACTGTCTGCTTGATCGTTTTGGCATTTGATTTGACTTGCTTGCACAAGGCAGCTGCCTAAAAGCTTCTTCTACGTGACACCAGATTGACACAATAATCGTCCAAGGGTATCATCCCCTCAGCAATATGCAAGTCAACTTGATCATTAATACAGGCCCTTTTGGAATGTGATGTCACATTTACTTCTGCGCAATTTATTACCTAAAGTAAACAAACATAGCCCACTTGCGAACCCCTGCTTCCTCCTCTGAATGTCATACAACAGGTTTTTGCAGCCTTGGAAGCAAATTAGCCTCGATTTTGCCGCCGTTATGGTTCAAAGGGAAGAGACGATGGTACAAAGCGCGGAAAAAAGTACTGTGCCGCTGATGGAAAGCCATTATTTACTCCCATGAATAACGCAAGCCTAATTAGGCGGGGATAGGGTTAGCCTTTTAAGTTCGGGTGATATGAGTCTCTAAAAACCCATATTTCTTTCCTGAACACAACTTCTTAGCACTCCCTCCCCTGTGCTGCATGACTTCAGGAATCATCTTTCAACTCTGAATGGAGTCTACAATTTTTTTCTCTTTTTTGAGAAACGCCTCCAAGATTATGTATTCTAGGCTCATCGTCCCCGCTACTTAGTTATCTCAGTAGTACTGCAATTTTTGCTGTACTTCGCGTCTCAATAGTAAGCAGGTTACTAGGTAAGTTCTTCAATTCCTGGCTCTAGAACCTACCATCTTGGCTTCACGACTATTCTTGTTTTCCTGCTACTTTTAGTCAGTAGAAATTTCCCGAATTCCTTAGTACTCTGCATTTGACGATCACTTCAACCCGTTACAGCTACACTATAACTGCCCTATTCATGGCGGTAGAATAACATGCCTAGATCAAGCTTAAACAAGCAAAATCGTAAATATGTAACTTCCGCGCTTACTGTTCATAGCTGTATTACCAATAGAGTCTGAAATTTACTACTTTTAGTAGTTGAAAGCAGCCCCCCAGTATGCGCGTTATAAATCTTTCATATTTATGCCAAAATTGATATTACATTTCCTTTTCAAGCCCAAAATTACCGTTCAATTCAATTTTTTTCTCCCACGAGTGGCATTCGACTGGCGCACAGTTGTCAGGAGATAATGAAATTTTCTGGGGTTTTAAAGACCTCTTGAGTGTACCTTTTACCGCTTTTTCACCGCAGCAGTTGCGCAACCTTTGTCTTGAGAAATTTACTATATGTTATTATTGTAATAAAATGAGGGACTTATTTTGCGCTTTTTGCTGAGCTCTGCACTCCAAACTCCTCTTAGCTCTTAGCACCACTAACATAATGCACCCTCGTCCTGCCACTTTAAGATCACCACCGTTTAACAATTTCTGCAATTCCAAGCACCTTTTGCTTGTCTTGTTAACAAGGACTTAACTCTTCTATTATTTAACAGTCCAACTCGACTACTTCAAATTTCGTCATCTTAGACATTTTGAGTTTGCTCAGTGCTGTGCTTCTGACCTACCCTGATTAAGCAAAAAAATAAAAGAATAAAGCGTCACGTTCAAACTGGTTAAGGATAGCTTAAATTTTAACATCCAAAGCCGTTTCCTCACATTAACGGCCCCATACTCCTCTGGTTCCTTTTAATTAGTTGTACTATCATCAACGAACACAATACTCCATTCCAATTGGTTGGAATTCTCGTCATTCTTCGAACAAGGCACATCTCAGCACACACGTATACGGGTGCGCAGACAGTAGACGTTAACACAAAGAAAGTAGGAGATTAGTCGTTGAGACGTGTGTGCACACAGTGATGTCTTAAACGCCCTCATTACTAATCTCCACCAATCACCACTCGACCTTGACTTTCCTTCACAGCATTGGCTGCAGCCATTTATCACATGTCCTTCCTACACACACATTGGATCTACTTGACCGACTGCCCTCTCCTTCCCCGCCCCCCGCCTGCCTACTTGTGCGTGTGTGCTTGCATGTGAGACATTTTGTCACTAGCTTGTAAGCGCATTTCTCGTCTTGTGTAAGTCGTCTGTTTTCCCCTTCGTCTGCTATTACAGATATAATTTTCACCCCTCTTGTATGCGTTTATCTTTCGACCGAATATACCCATAGGCGCCTCTGTTTGGGAATTCAGTAATGCGCACGGAATCGTTAAATATGAGATAAAATTTTGCACTTAATGCCAGAGGTCATAGATGTCAAAGGTTATGCACTTTAAACACTCAAGGTTCCACCACCTCAATTTTTCCCAAATCTGGCCTGCCATATTATCGATAACTTGTCAATCCCACTAAAAGATTTTTTTTCTCCAATTCTTTGGCCTCAGAAATGGTCATTTCTCTGGTCATTTATGAGCCTGTTTAGAGTACACTCAAACAATGGATACTCCTTCCATTAATGCATGCATTTATGCGCTAAACGTGCAGATATTATCGCCAATTGGTTGTATAAATCGACTTTCTTTTGACAAGCTTTATTAAACTATTTTGAGTCTATGCTCTTAGCCTAGATGCACTTTAAATCGCCACTCGCTTAAATCGTGAGAAAGTTCCTCTTAAAAAGCCTCAAAGTTGCTCATCTTACTTTGTTGGAGAAGTTGGGATCTGTTTCTCCGCAACTTTGGCACCACCACTACAAATAGCATGGGGAAACACACCAGCTTATGCCTAAAACAGTTAACCATTGACCTTTTCGGACAAAAAGTGTTATAGCTAAGACGGTGTAGTGTTTGGTATCCACATCTCTCTTTGCTTATTCTATCTACATTACTTTTATTTGAGAAACGAAGGGCAAATTACTTCGGATCTCCTTTTTTTACATAAAATGGCAGTTATTCCAGTTCCCCTCCCCTGTGGTTAATTTTCTGTACGTAAAGAAGGTCCCATTTACCCTTTCCAATTCCCTTGGATTTATTTTTCGGGACAAAGAAAAACGGGCGTTTAAGCCGACTGCTCTTCCTGCGCTTAAATATTGCCCCTCTACCTCCTTCAGAAAGTAGGCGAGAGACATAAATGAAGGGAGACTATTGAAGTTTCCTTTTAAGCAGCGCATCGGCCACACAAAAGCGTTTGATTTTTTATTTTCTTTTTGTCAACTTCCCATTCACTTTGTCATACCTTATTCCCATAATATGAAGCGGACTACTTGGAAGAGAGTAGTCTAAAAATCTCACATCGGTTCTTCAATCCAATTGTTTTCTAACACCGAGTTCCAGTTTCCCTCTTAGTCCATTGCACCTATTTGCTTTCCAATACACAAAGGTAATGTAAATACAATGGCAACCAGGAGCTTCTTCAACATCAAAGCGAAATTTTGTTTCCTTACCTCGTTAAATTAATTACTGCAGCTTGTTGCTGTTATTATGCTCCACTCAGAGGAGCTATAAAGATTAGTGTCCATAGGAGTCCACGAATATCCTCCATAGGGAGGGATATGTAGCTCCCTCACCCCTTCATCCTATTTTAAGCGTCGGTTCTGGCGCTTCCACTTCTGCCATAGCTACGGAATGTATTGGAATCACTCAAGATGGAGGCACGAAGGTGCTATTTGAGGGCTTCCAACCACAATAAAGAGTGGTATTGTCTTGTCTTTTTCATAAGTTGAGGTTACTTTCAAAGCTCCGCAATACGAGTGAAGGCATTCTTTCAACAATGTCACAATAGCAAGGTGCCAACGTAATATCCCTTGTAGGATTTTTATTAGTTTCTTTCTCTAATTTCTCCTCAAGTGTTTTCCATCCTCTTGCCTATGAAAAAAATACATTTTGCGACATGGCAAATGTCGTCATGTCTACTTAAGGCTTTGTTTTTTCGTTACTAGCGTCTATTTGTCATTACAACGTTAAAAAAGAAAAGAAGACTACCCTTTCTGTGCGGTCAACCACGTTGCCACTCCATTTGTCACAGAATAGTGGCCACGTCACTGTCATCTTATGGCGTACACATTAAATGCATGAGCAGTATACAGACACCTTCTTCACTGGTCGGTCAAAGTAAAAACAGGAGACACGTTGGTTCCCTGCGTTCTGAGTCGAGCTGCTTGCCATGTCAAGTTCATTGCTACTTATTGCAGAATGGTGGGACTTACTGGTGAATCCGTCTTTCTTCTTGATTCTAAAGACTCCAAACAACTTCGTATTTTCTCCGCTACGCCCACCATATCCAACTTGATGACATTTAAGTCAATGTGATTTGACTTTTTTTTTAAAATTCGAGCAAGTAAGGAAGGGTGGAACATGGGTGGGTCTAACGGCTGAATGCTATCCTAATTTATCACCCTCCTGTCACCATTGTTCTACATGACTCTCTCTTGAAATAGGCTTTTCTTCTGTCATTGCAATGCAGTTGGTTGCTGTGCCAAAGAAAAAGGTTTTCTCCGCTGTCTATAATGACCAGGAGTGGGCTGTTTTTGTTGCCTTAAATGTTATTAGAACTCCCAGATGTCGTTCGGTTCACTTTAAAGGTGTAAAACGCCACCCATGCGTATTTATGGCCGTTCTTTTATTTCACCCATATCCTAGCAATAAAACAATTTTCGCCTTTTCCAAAATCCTGATGGATGCTGTTATTCACTCGTTGATCCCACCCTATCATCTATTTTATGTCCATTCAACCCGTACCCATCCATTACTTTTCCATTAGTCCATCCCCCTATCCATTAATCCATTCTATATCCACAGATCCAATCATTACTGTCCCTCCACACCGTTCTCATCCATCCATCCAATCTTTCATTCTGTCCGTCCGTCCAACAATCAATCCACTCCATTTATTCAGTCAACCACCAACTCACTTTTCCTTGGGCCCAATCCTCTTTATCATGG